ACAAGGAGCATGGTGACCGCGGGTGAAGTTGAGTTGCGGTACGTAAAGACCACGGGGCAGCCGGCTGACATGATGACTAAGAGGCTGGTGGAGCAGCAGCATTGGAAGTGTTGCAAGCTGGCTGGGATGGCTCTGAACTGAGAGAGCAACATATCCTAAGGCCAACAATCCGAGGGGGAGTTTGTTGGTGCAACCCTACGGTTTGCACTCGGCTTGTTGTCCGTGTGCGTGCATGTGTGTGTGTGTATGGAATGGTATGAGGGCATGGGATAATATATATTTCATGCTTATAATTGTGTGTGAATGTTGAGTCATGATGTCGAGTGTGTGTGTCGAGTCAATAGCGAGTTATCGCTAGACGCGTGTTACGCGGTCGTTTGTGTCTCGCGCGCGGTTTCTATTTTTGTCGTGCGCGGTTTCTATTTTGTCCTGTGTCGAACGTTTGGCGTGTCGCAGGTGTGTGCAGCAGACCCATCAAGAACTCAAGGATGAGTTTGTGATGAAGAGCCCGAGCCTTGGTGTCAAGCCTCAAGTGATTTCGAAGCTCGCCAAAAGGGTACACCTCAAGATATTGAAGATAGTTACATTACTTTGTGTAGTGTAACATTTCACTTGGTGTAGGCCCTAGTGAAGGGTATTTTCAAGACCCTTCGTGGTTGGGGACAATGTGGCACTGTTCCACATCACCGTACCTCGGCTCTTGGGATTTGTAGGAGCTGGGAGTCATTCCCAACTCGTAACTCTTCCTAACTCTTCCTATCTTGTGTTCTAAGACTATAGTGGATGCCATAGTGCCGTTCGTTCAAACCGACACTGTGTCGTCAATACTTGGTAAAATTGTGCGATCTAAATTGCCTATTGTAGGCGACGTTCAGACGCTCCAGATCCAAGTTGAATCAGGTCATTTGAAGTTGTGACCAGAACGCTATGAACGTTTGAAGCCGCTATGCAGAAATCCGGCTGTGCACTCTATCTTTCGTTTTAGGCACATTGGAGCCTATTGTGACTATAACAGACATGTCGCATCTCTCTCGCTCCATGTCCAAAGGAAGCGACCTGTCAAGGGTGGGAAGCCAATGTCAGGATTCTTACAGGTCCAAGTCAAGCCCGGAGAAGCCCGTTTTGCAGACGGAGACGCATGGGAACATCGAGAACAACGTTTCTGAGCAGCAACTGAACAGTGCAAGCAGATCTAGCGACAGTGATCTTGAAGGTTTGCATGAAGCAGAACGGCTCCGCTGCAGTCGATATTTCAAAGTCAAGGGAAAGCTGGCTGATGATGATGACCACATTCTGTTTCTTCGTATAAGGATCGTCGATTCAGAAGGTAAGCTTGTTTGCTTACAGCTTTGTATAATTTTTTACATCCACCTGATTCTATTTTTCAAGATTTTTACTCGTTTGCTTGACATTCAGGGTTTGTGCGCAACATTCACTTCCCGTTCAACATGGACGAAGACACGGTTTTTTGTGTTGCGAGCGAGATGGTTGAAGAGCTTGCTATTTCCGACCAAGATGTGATCAGCATCGCAGAGATGATAGACGTGGAAATCACAAAGCTCGTTCCGGATTGGAAACCAGGTCCATCTTTTTTACGAAACAGAAGGCTTGGAGGAGAGAAAGAGCGAGGTTGGTGATGCAGACGATCAAGAAGAGGAGGATGCAGAAGGCAAAGAAGCTGTGGGCCATTTGAGTACAGTTTCGTCAGCCAACTCATTGCCTGGGCGATCTTTGGACAGGTCGCGTTCAGCCTCTCCATCGCATTCGCGTTCTCGGTCTCAATCCTACCAGCGGAACTAGCCAAACGCAGCTTCGCCTTCAGCATAGACTAAACTCTTTTCTGGCTCGCCTGCAAACGGTGGCTTAGATCATGTTGGCGTGACTCATAATCGCTTTTGTGAAGGTTTACCGGGCACAGTCGCCGACGGCGGTGCTGGGTTCTCAAGCGATGAGTCAGATGAAGGAGCACAGCATCGAGGATCAGGGACGTTAAGTGATTCTGATGACCAAGGTCATGGTGAAGAGGTGGAGGAAATTGCGGCCATGGCTGGAGATGCACCGGTGAAAAGGTTCGCGGCTAATAACATTGCGCTTCCGCTAGCTTCCGATGGTTCGAGTGAACTGCAGAGGGATTCAACATCGAGCGGGAGGAAGAGCCTGACGGATTTCAGCGCTGCTGGAGCTCAAAAGACACAGCGAAGTGTTCGGAGGTTGGGATTCTATGCTGCACAGCCAGTCCGTGGCGGAACTTTCAAGAGAGGTTCCTAGTCTATGGAGTTCATCGGGTGAGCTAGAAAGAGGTGACAGGGACGACGACTTGATTAGGGAAAAGGAGGAGCTTCGGCTGGAGAGGGAGCATGAAATGCAGGAGCTGGAAATGTGGTATTGGCAGCGATTGCTTGCTGTGAGGAACAGGTACAGAAGATTAAAGGTAGCTTCTCAGGTCCCATGCCTAGTTCAGGTTCGACTACTCAGCCGAAATGCATTCCCGCATCGAGAGCATGAGCGATTTCCAGGACCTGGTGGCCATTACAACGGGCTTGAACCTAGCGTACCCCATTCATCGCGTTCTCAGCCACTGCTGTACCATGGTGATTTCAGGGCAGGCTTTTGCAGGGGTGGCAATGAACATGTCGAACCGGAGTATTACCCTAAGGATAAGGGTGGCAGCAGGAACTATGGGAAAGGCGATTGGGATGCACACGGGGGTTCGAAGGATTCGCGGGACAGGCATCTTACGTCGCGCCCCGATTGGGAGAGGGTACCACCGCATCACAGCTCCAGTGGACATGCTGTTGAGAGGGACCAACGATGGGGTGGTGGTCGGGACGGCCCAGGGAGAGATGCAGGTCATGATGGCCAGGGAAGAGGCTGGGAGCGAGATGTGGATGGCGATTGTGAGCAGGGATGCACGGAACCTACTAGTCAGCACATATACCCTTCCAGAGACTCGTCTCGTTCACTGCCGGCAAAGTGGGGCGAGCTGGTGCAGGATCCGAATGCTCCTGCCTGGTGGTTGACGCAACAGAGGGCTAGGATGCAACCTGCGCATCTGTACGCGAACGGGGGAGATGGACAATATTATGGGGCTCCGCATCAGTTTGATTTTGGACCAGGAAAAAATTGGGATTCCCCGGATTGGTCCTGAGAAGAAGCTTTTTGTAGAGCCTGAACCGTGGAGGTTTCAACCGAGAGATGTTGAGCCTGGTGAGGACTCGTGGGCCAAGCATAACCGGAAGAAGCAGTATGATGGTGGCAGGTTTGAAGAGGTGGAGCAATACCGAAGAGGTGATATTGAGGAGGATAGTTTTGGCCATGGTGGCTGAGCTTATCAGAGGGTTGTGGTGGGGCAAAGAGACGAGGAGGCTTGCTGGCAGGCTAGGAGGGAACGAATGGACTTTGATCCCAAGTTTGACAGGGGTTCTGGTTCCAAGGGTGACACGGGTGGGGCTCGGAAAGGAGGAGTGGATAGAGAGAGGTTTGACTATCAGGAAGAAGCAAATGGGTTTCGAAGGCGAGAAGTTGGTGTTGGGGGAGAGCCTATGTCGCAAGAAAGACGCGGGGCGGATGGGAAGGGGGAGCAGCATGTTTTTTACATGACCAAGAGGGATGTGGAGGGTGATATGGGCAGAGTTCCGCGAAAGCATTTGCAGGAGCGAAGTTCAGGCGACGTTTCCAAAGGAGAGGAGCGTGGTGGAAGGTTTTCTTCTGCAGGTGCCAACTTTTCTTCGGAAACATCCTCCTCTTGGAGCCCAAGTAGGAGCCGTCAACTGTCCCCGCAATCTCAGGAACAGGAAGGGCTTGGTGCCTTGGATCTTCGAAAGGCATCCTCTGAAAGGGTGGCGACAAACTTTTTGAGTTCAGGCAGGGAGCACGCTTCAAAGTCTGATGCAGCTCCCCCGTCGAAGTTCGTGGCATTGCAAAGAGAGGAAAGCAAGGAGTATGATTCGAATGGGCACTTGAGGATGTCGGCAAATCACGAAAACTCAAAGTGCAAGCTGTGCGGAGGGATTCTGATGGAGATTCCCAAGGGAGACTGCAAAGCGGCAACTCATTGCTGCTTCGAGCAGAGGTGATGGGGCGCATCTGGAGCCTGCCTTGCACCCGAGGGAGGTCCCAGATGCTGTTGTGCCACCTGATGCTCAGACACATGGGCAGCAAATGAAGAAAGAGCAGCTACAGAAATCAATTGCAGAGCTTGAGGCAAAGATATTGCAAGGCCTTATGAACAACAAGCTTCACAAGAATGGATTTGTAGCACCACCCAGCTCCAACAAATTCTTGGCCATGAAAAAGCCAAGCATCAGCGCTCGTCCACCACTTATCTGTTACTTAGGTTTGCAGTGCTTAGAATAGGCATGTTATCTGCTATCTGTTTGGCATCGCTGCCTTGGATGATTTGAAATCGGCCAGAATGGTTATGCAATTTTCGATAGCAAAGGTGGATTGCATGCTACCGACCATGTTATGTGAAGGATCATGTGCCGAATGAATCTGAGATTTTAAAGTTGCACTACCTATTTGTGTGCAAGTGCCTAAGAGGGAATCCGTAATGATTTCCACAAACGCACTTGTATAGCGGTATGCATGCAAGTCTAAATGAAACATCCACCACCAGTCCACGATTGCCTTGTATCGGAGTTCGGCAGTCAGCTCAGCAGGGAGGCATCATCAGGCTCGGCAATCCCATCACCTGTCGCCCCCCAGCTTCCACCAGTTTCACGTGTTTTCGTAGCACAACTGGATTTGCTGCTCCGCCATTCACCTGTCTCCCTGCCTGCTCGTTCCCACCGCTTCTTTCGTACTCGACACTCTGTTATCCATAGCTCTCGGTGCCCCTCTCGGCGTATTTCACCTTGTCACCGTCCACGTCAGCCGTCTTCGCTACACCTGAGCAATCTGCCGTCTGCCGTCACGCGGCTCGCGCAGTTTCCTTTGTTTCTACTCCTCTTGCGAGACCTTTCCTGCATATCGTGTCAACCCTCGGGATTGCCGCCGTCATGAATAGCGCACCCCAGCCAGTAGATTTCCCTTTCCCCGCGCAGCCCCCTGAAGCTGTTGGCGGAGCGGAAAACTACCCCGCGCAACCTTTCGCGCAGCCTTTTGCGGATCCTTTGGCGCAGCCGCAGATGGCGGAGAGGGAGGCGGAGCCCTCCGCCGACCGAGACTCCGCGGGCGCAGTTTCCGCTCCCGCCGCCACTGCCCCGCAGCCCCACCACCCTCTCCAGCAACCACCGGCGCAAGGCGCCGCGCTGCAATCCTCCACGCTGCCGCACGACGCGCAAGCCGCGCAGGTGGGCGGCGGCGGCTCCCGCGAGGGCTCCCGCGAGCGGGAGGCGGAAGGCGAGGCGCTGTCGGTGCGGTTCAACCAGGACTTCACGTGCTTCGCGTGCGGGACGCGCGGCGGCTTCCGCGTGTTCTGCTGCGACCCACTGTGGGAGACGATTCGGCGCGACTTCGACGGGCGCGGCGTGGGCATGGTGGAGATGCTGTTTCGCTGCAACTTCCTCGCGTTCGTAGGCGGCGGTCCCAACCCGTGCTACCCGCCTAACAAGGTATGGCGAAGCGATGAGATGAGTTGAGGAAAGAGGTGGAGGGACAAGAGGAGTTAGGAGAGGTTGTGGGCGGCGGTCCCAACCCGTGCTACCCGCCTAACGAGGTGCGGCGGGGAGATTAGAGAGGCGAGGAGATTAGAGAGAGGAGACTAGAGGGGTGGCGAAGAGAGATGAGGTGGGATGATTCAAAAGGGGAAGAAACCAGAGAGGCGAGAAAAATGGGACGACAGTCACAGTGGTGCATCGGCGAGCTGATGCAGGTGTCCCCTTCCCCTGTTTTCCTTTCTTTCCCTCTCCACTCCATCCCACCCTCTTCACCCTCCTCCCCCCTCCTCCCTCCTCCCCCCTCCCCCTCCCCCCTCCTATACCCCCTCTGCCCACCCAGCAGGCGATGATCTGGGCGACAGTCACAGCCAGTGCATTGGCGAGGTGACCAGTCACAGTTTCGTGAGCTCACAACCATTTCTGCTCGTCGTTGTGTTTTCCCCTCCACCCCGCTCGTTTCCCTGCCCTCCACCCACCCACCCTTTCCACTTCTCCCTTCAGGCTATGATCTGGGGCAACAGCCACAGCCACAGCCGGTGCATCGGCTAGCTGGCCTTCCGCAGCGACGTGGGATGAGGACCCTCCCCCCTCCCCCCCCCCCCCCCTTTCCCCCCCCAGCTGAGTCAGTGCTCACGTCTTTTCCTCCTCTCCCTCCAACCTGTTCCTTTCCACCCCCTGCAAAAGGCAATGATCTGGGACGACAGCACAGCCGGTGCATTGGTGAACTGACCTTTCGCAACGACGTGGGTTGGGTTATACCCGCAGACCTCTGACTGACCCGCAGGCCGCATCCAAGCCAGCTCCTCTGAACGCGTCTTTCCCTCTCTCCCCTCCTCCCCTTCCTACAGGCAATGGTATGAGACGGCTCTCACAGCCGGTGCATCGACGACCTCACCTTCCCAGCGACGTGGGTTGATGACGCACCCAACTCATCTCCTTCCATTGCGTCCTTCCCTCTCTTGCTTACATCCCCCCAACATCCCCTTTCCCCCTTCGGTTTTGCCCTTCAGGCAATGATCTGGGACGACAGCCACAGCCGGTGCATCGGCGACCTCACCTTGTGCATGTCGTTCCCTCTCCCCTTCTCAACCCCACTCTCCTCCCCACCCACCCCACCCCCTTGGACTTCTTTGCCCTTCAGGCCATGATCTGGGACGACTCTCACAGCCGGTGCATCGGCGACCTCACCTTCCGCATGTCGTTCCCTCTCCCCTTCTCAACCCCACTCTCCTCCCCACCCACCCCACCCCCTTGGACTTCTTTGCCCTTCAGGCCATGATCTGGGACGACTCTCACAGCCGGTGCATCGGGGAGCTCACCTTCCGCAGCGAAGTGAGGGGCGTGCGGCTGAGGAGGGACCGCATCGTGGTGGTGCTGGAGCATAAGGTCTACGTCTATAACTTTGCAGATCTGAAGCTGCTGCACCAGGTGAGATGGGATCAGAGGCCCGCACTCTATGAGACCTGCAACAAGTTTAAGTGTATAACTTTGCAGACCTGAAGCTGCTTCACCAGGTAACGCACTCAACGTGCGTGCACCAGGTAATGTCTCAGAGCACAGGGCTGAGGAGGGACCACGTTGTGGTGGTGCTGGAGCATAAGTTCTATGTCTACAACTTCGCTGACCTGAAGCTGCTGCACCAGGTGGGACCTGCAGCAGGTAGCGCATCAACGTGGACCGGGTGATGCCTGCACCACGTGATGCTTAGGGCTGTAGACTACCTGAGGGCTGTGTAAGGTGTCTCAGGCCTGCTACTGTTGTGCGTGGGCATCACTGGTGATATCATCCCCATCACACCCATCTGTGTGCATCTCACCATCTCCCAAAAAACCATATCTGGTGTGCGTCAAACCCCTGGAAAACGCCGTCAAACCCCCGGGGAGGCTGTGCGAGGTGTCTCAGCCCTGTCGCCGCTGTGCGTTGACTATCCTCATCATACCTATGGACCCCTGTCTGCCACCCTGTCTGCCCCCCTGTCTGCCACCCTGTCTGCCACCCACATATGGCAGGTTGAGGCACTGTCCAACCCCTGGAGGGCTGTGCGCGGTGTCCCAATCTGTTGATTCCCCACCCTCTCTTACCTGCATGCCACTGACCCACCTTCACCCACGCTCACCAGGTGGAGATGCTGTTCAACCCCAGAGGGCTGTGCGAGGTGTCTCAGTCAGTCCAGTGGTTCTCCTCTCCTCTGTCCCTTGTGTTGTGTGCTACCAACCCCCCCCCCTCCCCCTCCTCCCCCTTCACCCACGCACACCAGGTGGAGACGCTGTCCAACCCCAGAGGGCTGTGCGAGGTGTCCCAGTCGCCCAACAGTTTCGTTATGGCGTGCCCTGGCAAGCACCGGCAGCAGGTGGGATGATGGGTGATGGGATCAATGGGATGCATGGTGGGTGAGTTGGGTTGGGATGCATGGTGGGTGAGTTGGGATGGATGGTGGGTGAGTTGGGATGGATGGTGGGTGAGTTGGGATGGATGGTGGGTGAGTTGGGATGGATGGTGGGTGAGTTGGAATGCATGGTGGGTGAGTTGGGATGGATGGCGGGTGAGTTGGGATGGATGGTGGGTGAGTTGGGATGGATGGTGGGTGAGTTGGGATGGATGGTGGGTGAGTTGGAATGCATGGCGGGTGAGCTGGGATGGATGGTGGGGGAGTTGAGATGCATGGTGGGTGAGTTGGGATGCATGGTGGGGGAGTTGGGATGGATGGTGGGTGAGTTGGGATGGATGGTGGGTGAGTTGAAATGCATGGTGGGTGAGTTGGGATGGATGGTGGGTGAGTTGAGATGCATGGTGGGTGAGTTGGGATGCATGGTGGGGGAGTTGGGATGGATGGTGGGTGAGCTGGGATGGATGGTGGGTGAGTTGAAATGCATGGTGGGTGAGTTGGGATGGATGGTGGGTGAAATGGGATGCATGGTGGGTGAGTTGGGATGGATGGTGGGTGAGTTGGGATGCATGGTGGGTGAGTTGGGATGGATGGTGGGTGATTTGGGATTAGATATGAGCACAAGGGCGAGGTGAACCGAACACTTTTTTTTTTGCCTAAAGTGTTGTGGGCGAACATGTTCGTGTTCGGTTCGCCGCAACTAGCCGAGCCGCGCCAAACACGAACACGTTCGTGTTCGCGACAAACACAAACGTGTTCATTGGCAACGTCCCTCGATCCTTAGTTTAGGTGAATGGGTTTACACAATCGAGCTATTTCCTACACTCGACTTTTGCCTAACCCCCCTCCCACAGCCTAGACTACAATGGTTTGGTGGATCCATTGGTGTTTTATTTCCTCCACTCCCAAACGTCCACCAGGTATAATACACCAACCTGGACGCGAAAATCCACCATCCCTACACCCTCTGACTATAATGAAGGCTGCCTACAGGCGAACGCGAAGATGTTTCGCAAACATCGAACACCTCCTCCACTGGTTTGTGTTCGGCCAAACACAAACATGTTTGGTTCGTCGAACACGAGTGCTCGAGGCAAGGCGAACACGAGCATGTTCGTGTTCGCCTTTTGCTCATCTCTAGTTGGGACACATGGTGGGTAAGTTGGGATGGATAGTGGGTGGGTTGAGATCTAAAGCTTACTACCATCGCTTGAAGAGCTGATTGGTACGCGTTAACTGATCTGACTGTCAAATTCACATTTCTGAGCAGCTTGCACGGCCTGACGATTTGCGATTGCCGAGTTGCTGTTCTGCCAGCAAACATTTGGGAGTTGGCCGTTCTGAAGAGGTTAGGGCTGGTGGACCCTATGATGTGAAAGACGCACGGAGGACGCTGCGTTCTGCGTCTGGACGCAGTGTCTGGACGCTCGGACGCAGGACGCGCGTCCAGACGCAGGACGCACATCGATTTTTTTTTTCGGGCTGCCCCGAAAAAAAAGTTCCCGATCGCGAAATTTAGATTCGCGATTTCGACGCGACTGTCGAAATCGCGAAATTTCGACCCCCCCCCCCCCCTTAGCACAAACGCCATTTCGTCACCCTTTGAGATAACCGTTACTTTAAAACGGTTAACTAACACTAGAACCTAAGTGTGGGAACGAGCTAGGTGAGAGATGGCATGATGAGAAGCTAGGGGTGAGCTGAGCTTGCGCTAGAGCTTGCACAAAATGTCGCGCAGCTCAAATTTGACCGGCACGACATTTGTCGGGGGGGTCAAATCCCCGCAAGAATGAGATCTGACGAAATTGACTCAAATTAGAACAAAAACCGCATTTCACCGCACTGAATCTAGAATTTCCAACCAGTCTATCAATTCCCATCCCAGGTCGACCAGATCTGGCCGCATTTGTTGGCCTGAGATATAGTCGACAGCGTAATAAACTAGGGGGTTTTCTCGACTAGCTTATATGTACAGCTGACGAAGCAAATTGTCGCAGGGGAAAGAGGCGGGCCAGAACAGCCCGACCCGCCCCCGTGCTCATCCAGGGCCTATAACAATTTTTTTGCCTGCCTGTGGGGTTTTTTTGCCCTGCCCGGGCTTGCGTCTTTTGGTGCGACTTTCTGGTCCTGGTGCTGCGTCCTACGTCTGGACGCATGCGTCCAGGACGCAGGACGCGTCTTTCGCAACATAGGGTGGACCTACCACTCTCAGGTCTCACCGACTCTTTCAACCAGCTTTCGTGTCCGGAATCCTTTTTATGTGGTTCGATGGAAGATTCGCAAGCTTCCTTCCGGATTCACTTCATTGAGCAGTTAGCACAGCGTGATGATCCACGATTGCCGACTTGTTGTCATGCCAGCAAACTTTGGGGAGGTGGCCGTCCTGAAGAGATTGGCGCTGGTAGGTCCGCCAGCGTCAATCTCTTCAGAACGGTAGCTCCCCAAAATTCACTGGCGAATCAGCAAGTCGGCGATCGCAGATCGTCATGCTGTGCAAGCTGCTCAGGGAAGTGAATCCGGAAGAAAGTTAGCGAATCATCCATCGAACCACATAGAAGGACTTCAGAGACGAGAGCTGGCTGAAAGAGTCGGGGAGACCTGAGAGTGGTAGGTACGCCAGCGCCAATCTCTTCAGGACGACCAACTCCCAATTTTTGCTGGCAGGACAGCAAGTCAGCAATCGCAGATCCTCTGGCTGTACAAGCTGCTCAGGGGTGAGAGTTTGTCAGTCAGATAAGTTAGCGCGCAGCAAACAGTGAGGCTCAGCTTTTCAAGCAATGGTAGCAAGTCTTAAATGCCGTCATGAATACACTAGAGATCGATACAGTGTGAAATCGGCTTAAGGACGGAAGATTATCCCGCGCTTCTTAAGTGACTGTTAGTACGACAAAATGATAAGCTGGTAAGGACAGTGAGTTGAGGGAGAGCTAACAGGTGGTCCACACTTAAGGACCAGGTCCGAATGGTATGAATTGAGAACTCTGTCCTTGTGAACTATGTCTCACTTTTGAGCATGCACTTACACCCCCCCCCAGCCCCCTTTTCATTCAGATCCATGTGGGGCTATTTGATCAGGACCGCACGCACTTCACAGCAGCGCACAGCTCGGAGCCTGCATACATTTTTCTCACTCTGTGGACGCACTTTCTCTTACCATGTCTTGGTTTTCAACATATCCCCCCTTCCCCCATTAGATCTGTGTGGAACTATTCGACCAGCGCTGAACGCACTTCATAGCTGCGCCTGCATCTTTCTCAGTCCATCAGCTTGCTCGCCCCACTCCCTTCCTCTCCACTCCCTCTCCTCCACCCCCCACTCTCCGGTTCTTACCACTTAGATCCGCATTGAGCTATTCGACCAGCGCCGCACACACTTCATAGCGGCGCACGACTCGGAGCCCGCCTGCATCGCTCTCTCGCTGGACGGGCAGCGCCTTGCCACGGCGAGCAGCAAGGGGACGCTCATCCGCGTGTTCAACACGGCTGATGGGAGCAAGCTGCACGAGGTGAGTAGTGACGATTGCTCTTGTGTGTGGTAATCGTGAGAGTTGTGAGCTGGTTCCTGGGGCAGACACCGGCTGGTCACGGCCAGCAGCAAGGGGTCGCACGCTGATCAGCAGCAAGGGGTCGCACGCTGATCAGAGTGTTCAACACGGCTGACGGTATGAAGCTGCACGAGGTGAGCAGTATTTATGTGCTGTGCGGCATGTGTGCATTCATGTGCGTTCTGGGTGGGTGTGTTCTCTCCTGCTCAACCACTCTCTCCCTGGACGGGCAGTGGCTCGCCACGGCCAGCAGGAGCAGCAAGGGCATGAGGTGTTCATGCCACTCCTTGGCATGTTTCAACGCGGCTGATGGGAGCAAGGTGCATGAGGTGAGAAGGAGTCCACATCACATCTACAACCTGCCTTCTTCCCCAACACGTGTTTTGAGTCGACTCAAAACTCGACTCAAAACATCACATCTACAATCTGCCTTCTTCCCCAAAACGCCCTGTCGCTAGCGTCAGAAATTTACTCTAGGGAAATGCACCTTTTGTCCCACCGCTCCCTCCATTCGCCCTGCCTTTCCTTGCCTCCCTCCTACCCTTCCTTGCCTCCATCCTGCCAGTTGCGCCGGGGAGTGGAGAGAGCTGACAACTACAGTCTCGCCCTGACTGTAGCGCCGGGGAGTGGCAGCGAGCAACGGGAGGCACCTTACATGTGTTCCCTCTATCCCCCTCCCTTCGCGTCCTTTGCTCCCTGCCCTCCCTGTTCTTGCTCCTTGCCTCTCTCACACCAGTTGCGCAGGGGAGTGGAGAGAGCAGACATGTACAGCTCCGTCTATTCTCCAAGGCGCCCTTCCTAGTGGCAGCCAGCAACAGGGCCACCGTGCACGTGCTCCCAGTCACTCCTTGCCCGCCCTCCCTGCTCTTGCTCCCTGCTCTTGCTCCCTGCTCTTGCTCCCTGCTCTTGCTCCCTGCCTCCCTCACACCAGTTGCGCCGGGGAGTGGAGAGAGCAGACATCTACAGCCTCGTCTTCTCCCCCAAGGCGCCCTTCCTAGTAGCAGCAAGTGACAGAGGCACCATTCACGTGTTCTCACTCCGCCACTCCCAAGGGCAGGCGCAGGGGCAGGAGGATGGGGTGGGGGGGCGGAGAGGGGAAGGCAGGGGCGACGGGGAGTGGTGGGGGAGCGGTGTCGGCACTGTCATCATTCGGATTGATGAAAGGTGGGTTATTCCATGGATGGGAGTCAGGGTGTGGGGGGGGAGAGGTGTCGGCACTGTCATCGTTTGGACGGATGAAAGGTGGGATTTGAGGGGTGGGGTGTCCGAGGCGTGGGGTGGCTGAGGAGTGGATTCAAAGAACAGTTGATTCAACTGACCCCCATTCCACCCCGTTTTTGAGACGGCTCATAGCTCACAATTCGGCTGTCCACTCTCAAAAAACAAGAATCGCTCCCGCGCCTCCGACCACACAGGGGCACACGCTCTCTTCCGTTCTGCTCCCCGCATGTCTTGTGCCTCGCCTTCACTCCTCTCCTCCCCAACCTCTCCAATGCAAGTGCTCTTTTACCGCCATCCTCCATCCCGCCCCGTTCTGGAGGAGTCCTTTGCAAATCGGTTTTGAGATGTCTAAAAAATTATCCCTCTCAAGAGTCCTCCTCCCAAGATCCTTCCTACCGGACGGGCATGCACACGCGCATGCTCACTCCTCTTGCGCTAGGCTTCTCTGATTTTTCTGCCTCGCACTGCCTCTTCCCTTCTTCAGGTGTTCTCCCCAAGTATTTCAGTGATGAGCGCTCGCTGGCTTTTTATCGGGTGGGCGTGCACACACGCATGCTTGCTGCATTGGCATCTCAAGTGTATCATGCACTGTCGACCCCTGCCAATCCCTGTCAACCCCTGTCAACCCCTGACACCACTTTTCAGGCGTCCTCCCCAAGTACTTCAGTGACGAGCGCTCGCTAGCCTTCTACCGGGTGGGAGTGCACACGCGCATGCTCGCTGCCTTTGGTGCCGAGGCCAACACCGTCATCGTCGTTGGCAGCACTGGCGCGTACGTTGGCCCATGCGTGTGCTCTCATGTGTGTGCTCTCATGTGTGTGCTCTCATGCATGTGCTCTCATGCATGTGCTCTCATGTGTGTGCTCTCATGTGTGTGCTCTCATGCGTGTGCTCTCATGCGTGTGCTCTCATGCGTGTGCTCTCATGCGTGTGCTCTCATGCGTGTGCTCTCATGCGTGTGCTCTCATGTGTGTGCTCTCATGCGTGTGCTCTCATGCGTGTGCTCTCATGCGTGTGCTCTCATGTGTGTGCTCTCATGCGTGTGCTCTCATGTGTGCGCCCATATGTGTTTGCTCATGCGTGCGCCCATATGTGTTTGCTCATGTGCGTGCCCATGCGTGCACCAATCCTTGTGCCCGTGCGTGCACCAATCCTTGTGCCCGTGCGTGCACCAATCCTTGTGCCCATGCGTGCACCAATCCTTGTGCCCATGCGGGCCCTCACTGCCTCGCCAAGACCACTGCAACAGTGCGAATAACGAATCGATTTGAGCCTTGGGTTTGTCTGTTGTTCACTCTCTGCTGCTGGTACAGGTTCTGCTGCTGCAAATTGTCGCTGTGCTGTTGCGTGGCTGTGGCAATGCTTGCTACCACTTAACTCTTGTCTTCTGTGCTTTAACAGGGTTGCTGGTGCCGCATGTGCATGTGCGTGCAAATTCGTGAAAGTGCGTGTGTGTGTGGCGTGTTGTCTCCCTCCCGCCTGCCAGGTTCTACAAGCTTCAATTTGACCCGCAAACAGGTGGTGAGATGAGGCTGCTGGAGGCAGCAAACTTCCTTGCGACAGAAGACGAGCAGATCTGATGGAGTGATTATAAAAGCGACTATTGATCATGGCGTTGGCAGCATGATTGGTGGGCCATCCGAGAAGATCACGTGTATATTATGTCTTCATGTGGATATTTGAACACTCTAGATGAACACATGAGAATAGCCGATTTATGAAATGTAGGCTGTAGAAACTAGCAATTTACTCTGTATACGTATATTGATTTTGTTACAAGCGATGCGTGATTCTGAGCCTCGTCAGCACGGACGAGCAGCACGACGAGGTCCGAGGACTGCTGTGGCGTTGCTTTGACTTCCGCAAAGGCCGTAGCGGGGCGGTCTGACTGGAGGGGCGAGGGGAAGCGGAGAAGTGAGGAGGAGGGGAAGGTGGAAGGAACTTGTGGGAGGTAGGGGAAGGATAGGGGCGGAGAAAAGGGACGGAGAAAAGGGGCGCAGAGACTGCGGAGGAAAGTGCGCGGATGGGGGTAGGAAGAGCGCAGGGAGCGTGGGGGCGTCCAGGGGAGTGCCGAAGACTCTTCTGTGTTCCCATTTCCTGGTTTCCCAGTTTTTCCTTTCTAGAAGGTTTCAATTTATGGTTGCTTGTTGTTAGACAGGTGGCTGCATAGGTACTAAGACTACTTCTGTCTGTATGCGCTTAATCCGCGATTCCGGCGGGCTGATGGCGCCGAGCAATGCGGTTCTCGCGATTCTCGTGCTCGTGTTCGCCGCAGCGGCAGCGGCGCGCGCGATGGACCTGCACCGTGAGGCGCGCATGGAGGAGTTGAAGGCGTCGATCAGAGATCGACGGCCGTCGTTCATCTTCGTCAAGCTCCGTCAAGACTCGGGTTCTCGCACGCTGGTACGACCCGCGCGCACCTCCCCCTGAGGTGACTGTTTGAGTCGACTCAGTCAATACTCACGCTGGTACGACCCGCGCGCACCTCCCCCCGAAGTGACTTTTTGATTCGACTCGAAAGTCGCGCTGGTATGGCTTTTGAGGTGCCTCAAAAGGGCTCTCGCACGCTGCTACGGCCCGCGAACCTCCCCCCGCGCGCCGTTCTCAATAATGCGACAGTTCGAGTCGCCTTAATTTCTCCAGAATTTTCAAAATCGGAAACTGCGCGCCAGACAGTAGCGGGAGGGAGAGACAGCGGATGCGATTAAATAGGTCACTAGGGCTCGTCGCGAGTTACCGCGACGGGCAATGCGATGCCTTGCGTTACCGTCATTTCCACGCATTCCGAGTCGTCGAATGTTAAAGCTGTTCTCTTCTCATTCTTTATCCCTTTCCCACCCCCCTTGCCTGCCCTTATCCCAACGTCCATTTTCATCTTGCATTCATTACCTTTCACAACGTAACTCTTGGAAACCTTTTCCGTTTCGCATGTAAATACACCACTGTAACCCTCCTCGTTTTTCGCTGGCCTTTTATTCAATTCGCATTTGAGAAGTCCCGAAAGCGACTCCGCCGACCCACCCCTTCCCATCTCACATCTGGGTGACTTCCGCTGGCCGTGCCATATGCGAGATGTGAGATATTCTCTTATCCCTATCTCACCCTTCGCTGTGTCGCTCTCGCTACCCCCTTTCGGTTCGCAGGAGGACGTGCAGCAGCTGCGACGAGGTGGCAAGCGGGAATGACGGAAGAGGGGAGCTCCTATCCCTTTCCCATCCCCCTTTGTATTGCTCTCGGTACCTTCGTCGTTCGGTTCGCAGGAGGACGTGCAGCAGCTGGCGACGAGGTGGCAGGCGGGCATGACGGAGGGGAAGATTGCCGCCAACGTGTATCCGCTGGATTCGGACACTCTCCACATCGCACTGCTCACCACCGCCGCTGCCAGCAAGGTAATTTGTGTTTCTCGCGTGATACCGCATACACTGCTGCAACGCTGCTGTTCTGCTTGTCCCTTCCCTTCAAATCCCATGAAAAAAAATCTTGCCTTCCCCTTCGAATGTCGACAAATTTCAGATTGAAATAACCCGTGTGCCCTTTCAACAGCCTCATGGTTTTCTGCATGTAAAGCAGGCACATGAACTGCTTGTGGGAGATGATCTGGTGCAGCGCAGTGCCCTGGGCACCCCCTTCATCCTTTTGTAACCCCACTCTATTTGTGCCTCGCAGGTGAAGGAGTTTGTGCTGGAGCAGGAGGAGGCGTACGAGCTGCTGGTGGGTGACGAGGTCGTGCGGCGGCCTGGTGACCCGCCACTGGAATCCCTGGTGCACCGCGACGTGTGGAAGCGGGAGCGCATGCGGCAGGAAATGATGAGGGAGCGCGAGAAGCTGCACCTGGACAGGATGGGGGGGGATGGGGGGATGACGGACCACCACCGGCAGAGAATTAAGGAGCAGCTGAGGGCGCGGCATGTGGATAGGCTGGAGAGGAAGAGGAAGATGCGGGAGGAGTGGCTGGAGAACCATGCAGATGATGACCTGTAAATTGATCTGGTGCTTCTGAGAGGGTCTGAGAATAAACATGACATAAGCTGATGAATGCAGTTTCAAGTTGGAAAAAGAATTGCAGGGCTTTAATCTGATGTGCTATAACAGTAGAAAAACTAAGAATGAATGGGTACCGTCATCGCCCGGATATAAGACATATGTCTTATCTCTCGTACATGTGCAAAAATGCTTCGGTTGTCTTGTATTTGGAACGATTTATGGTGTCTCATACGGTAAGTCTTATAAATGGACAGTGAACCGTTCAGAAGATACTCCCTCGTTATACAATTGCCCCTAAAAAAATCAAAGTCGGATGTTACACTGCTCTATCCGTGTAATGTAAAAGTACACGCTGCTCAGAAGGGCTTTTGAAAACGCTACACTGCCAATCGTGAGTAGGCCAAATCCAAACCTGAGCCCTGCCCCCGTCCAGGGCCCACGTTATCAGGGCAAAACATCCTGATTACCCTGAATTCAGGATGCAGTTTTGTATTTACCCTGCCATTTCAGAATAATGACAATTTTCACCCTGAGGTCTCAGGATATCTTTATATGAAATTCCCTGAACACTCAGGATGGCCGTAGTGTTCCCCCCTGAAACGTCAGGATGAATACCGAGGCTTACCCTGACGCGTTTTTTAAAGGGGGGGGGAGGGGGGGGGGGGGGGGGGGGGGGGGGGGGGGGGGGTCCGTTGGATTTTTTCCCCCTGTATGTTTCCCGCCTTCGCATGATGTCTTTGAGAGTTCAGTTCCGATCCCCCCCGCAAAGCACTAGCCAAGCCAAACCCATCAGACTGGAAACAGGTTGGGCAAGGCAACTCGTCGTGTGTCTCTCTCTCGCTGACGTTGAGCACTCCTCTATCCAACCAACACTCTTCTAGTGTTGCTGTTAGAGTAGCACAAGTGAAGCTCGGCTGGCTCAGTCGGACTAGTCATGGCCAACGAGCATGATGGCGCGACGCCAGTATCACGGGGTCTAACCGGATTAGACTTCCTGCGTCCTGTTCGGGCTGTGTCCACGTTACCAACACCCTCACCCGCAGCTGGTTCATCTCGAACTCCCGCAGTCATAGCCGCCCGCTACTGCTAAATTAAGAGCGACCAAGCACAAACAGTCGCGCTTGTCGTTCTCTCGCGAAATTCCTACGGAACCCACCGTACGTATCCGCTTAGAGCCAGCTCTTCCAGGACCATCGGCCGTTCCTGCAGCATCTTCATCTACTGAGGAACTTCGCGATGAGGCAGAGGATAAATACCAGGAGGCGCTTATGAAGTAAAAGCGGGAATGGTCAACTGATTTCCCGTGGCTCGTGCTTTGTCGAACTTCGTTCGGTAACCCATCAGTGAGGTGCAGTTTGTGTATCAAGCACGCAGGACACGGCACAAACTACAGCGCTGCTGGCGAAGGAGCCGTCGACGTCCAAACCCAGGCGTTCCGCACACATCAAAGCTCCAGGAAGCACAAACGGTCCGTCAAGAGACAGGCCCAGGCGGAGCAGGCAGCTGAGAACCAGCAGCGCATCGTCGACTGTCCAAAGGCCGGAGACATCCAGCGCGTAAGGGTCATCGCTCTGCTGGAGACCTTGCTGTTCGTCTGCAAATGTGACGCACCGATTGAAATGTGGGTTCAATTCGTTCGGCACCTTGCAGATCGACAGACACCAGGCTTCCCGAAGAATGGCTACGGTGCTTATTACACCAGGTGAGCCGTTGTTCAACAAATGCTGCTATACCCAAGAACCTTTGTACGGAGGTTGTGCACAACCTGATCAATGTTGCTAACCCTAAGTACCTTTTTTTTGTTAGATGCAGATACGGGTTTGCCGAGCTCATCGCAAGCACTGCAGCATATCTCCGTGCTCGTCAGCAAGTCTGGCTACAGTCTAGTCCATTCATCGGAGTTACCTGTGACGAGAGTACAGATCGTGTGCATGGCAAACACCAGATCGTGTTTGCCACGTTTCTCCGTGACTCTCGTGTAGTCACTGAGTTCATTGGTCTACTGACGGTGGAGAAATGCGATGACGCTTCGTTGATTTCCCTGCTGCTGACCCTACTTGACTCTCTTGGAATCGACATGAGCAGGGTGGCCGGGATTAGCACGGATGGCGCAGGTGCGATGATGGATAGCACAAACGGCCTGGTGGCTCGGCTGCGTGTAAGGGTCCTGCACCTCTTCTCCAGCCATTGCGTTGCACATCGGTGAGTAATACTGATTACCTGCGTGTGTTGTTTCTACCTGCCCATCACGTTGCGCTGAAAGTGGAAGGCAAGCAGGTGCTCATATGATCCAAAGCTCATGCCTTGCTGTAGGCTTTGCTTGTACTGTGATCCGTATATATATACCTGCATGCTTGCTTTGCTAGGTAGAGATCACTGTGATGTTTGTGTTGCATATATGCCTCTGCAAGTGAACTGGCCTTGTGGCCCTTTGCTTGTGCTCAGTGTGTGTGGTGACGTTGTGATCCACCCTGAGCTTGCTTTGCCTTTCTTGACTGGTCTTGTGACCCCTTGCTCTCCCCCACTTTGCCTATGGGGGTGTGTCAAATGTCATATCTGCTGCAGTTTGTTTAGGCTGTAGTGGGGTAGTTACTATGGGGTACAGTAAGTTTAGGGTTTCCTACTGTCAAACATTATATATGTTATGCTTGTGTAGGCTACAGTGGGTTAGCCTATAGGGGGTACACAATTCTAGGGTTTCCTACTTGTACTCATTTCACTGCTAGTTCATTCATTCCTGTTCGCTTATTCTCACATGGTATAGAGCGGGTCCTTCTACGGACCGTTTTTTTTGGGCCCACCGAAGCGCCCCCCGAGGCGCGATCTTTTTTAGCGACCCCTCGGGTCACCATTTCCCCTGCGGCCCCGCCGCCTTCACTGACGCGGCCCCGCCGCCCTCTCTGTCGCGGCCCCGCCGCCTGCTCTCGCGCGGCCCCGCCCCGGCTTCTACGCGGCCCCGCCCCGGCTTTCACGCGGCCCCGCCGACGGCTTTGTCGCGGCCCCGCCCAGGCCCTTACGCGGCTCCGCCGCCTGCTCTCACGCGGCCCCGCCCCGGCTCCTTCGCGGCCTCGCCGCCTGCTCTCGCGCGGCCCCGCCCCGGCTTCTACGCGGCCCCGCCCTGGCTTTCACGCGGCCCCGCCGACGGCTCTGTCGCGGCCCCGCCCAGGCCCTTACGCGGCCCCGCCGCCTGCCCCCGTCGCGGCCCGGTCACCTCCTGACGGCCCCGCCGTCCCTTCGTGACGGCCCCGCCGTCCCTTCCTGACGGCCCCGCCGTCCCCTCCTGACGGCTCCTGCCGTCCCCTTCTACCGGCCCCGCAACTGCACCTGCTGGCCCCGCCGCTGCACCTACCGGCCCCCCACCACCCACCCCCCCTTTTCCCGTCGCCCGTCGCGGCTCCTTCGGGGGCCGCAAGCGGCCCCCTCAGGTCGCCTCGACAGGCGACCTGAGAGGCCAGCAGAGGGGTGGCAGGTGTGTGGCCTCCCCTGCTTCTCCTCCTCCTTCATCTCCCACTGCAGCAGCCGAGCCGCCCCACAGCCGAGCCGCCCCACAGCCGAGCCGCCCTGCCGCCGAGCCGCCGGGTCGCTGAGCTGCTGAGCTGCAGTTGCTGCCGAGCCGCCCTGCCGCCGAGCCGCCGAGTCACCGAGCTGGTGAGCTGCAGTTGCTGCTGAGCCGCCTTGCCGCCGAGCCGCCCGAGTCGCCCGAGCCGCCGAGCCGCCGAGCTGCCGAGCCGCTGAGTCGCCGAACCTACTCTTCCCACCACTGGTGAGCTCTTGCCCTGCTAGCACGCTGCGCGTCGCGTGCTTGCCTGCCTGCCTGCCTTTTGGCTTGCCTGGCTGCCTGCCTCCCTGCTGCTAGTCCTGCTCCTGCTTCTACTTGCGGAGCCACATGCAACCCCAGCGACGCCGGCGTGAGTCCCTCACGCCCCAGCAGCTGCGTGAGTGGTACGCTGGTTGGGGCTGTAGGGGTGGCGACGCTACTCCTACTACCACTCCTGCTGCTTCTACTCGTGGTGGCGGCCAGATGCAGCTCCCGCGACCCTCTCGCGTGTCTCTCACGCCTCCCCGGCTTCTACGCGGCCCCGCCCCGGCTTTCACGCGGCCCCGCCGACGGCTTTGTCGCGGCCCCGCCCAGGCCCTTACGCGGCTCCGCCGCCTGCTCTCACGCGGCCCCGCCCCGGCTCCTTCGCGGCCCCGCCACCTGCTCTCGCGCGGCCCCGCCTCGGCTTCTACGCGGCCCCGCCCCGGCTTTCACGCGGCCCCGCCGACGGCTCTGTCGCGGCCCCGCCCAGGCCCTTACGCGGCCCCGCCGCCTGCCCCCGTCGCGGCCCGGTCACCTCCTGACGGCCCCGCCGTCCCTTCGTGACGGCCCCGCCGTCCCTTCTTGACGGCCCCGCCGTCCCCTCCTGACGGCTCCTGCCGTCCCCTTCTACCGGCCCCGCAACTGCACCTGCTGGCCCCGCCGCTGCACCTACCGGCCCCCCCCACCACCCACCCCCCCCCTTTTCCCGTCGCCCGTCGAGGCGACCTGAGGGGGCCGCTTGCGGCCTGAGAGGCCACCAGAGGGGTGGCAGGTGTGTGGCCTCCCCTGCTTCTCCTCCTCCTTCATCTCCCACTGCAGCAGCCGAGCCGCTCACCTGCAGCAGCCGAGCCGCCCCACAGCCGAGCCGCCCTGCCGCCGAGCCGCCGGGTCGCTGAGCTGCTGAGCTGTAGTTGCTGCCGAGCCGCCCTGCCGCCAAGCCGCCGAGTCACCGAGCTGCTGAGCTGCAGTTGCTGCTGAGCCGCCTTGCCGCCGAGCCGCCAGAGTCGCCCGAGCCGCCGAGCCGCCGAACTGCCGAGCTGCTGGGTCGCCGAGCCTACTCTTCCCACCACTGGTGAGCTCTTGCCCTGCTAGCACACTGCGCGTCGCCTGCTTGCCTGCCTGCCTGCCTTTTGGCTTGCCTGGCTGCCTGCCTCCCTGCTGCTAGTCCTGCTCCTGCTTCTACTTGCGGAGCCACATG